CGGATCGGCTTTCACCGTGGACAAAGCAGAGTCCAGCCCGGGGTCGTCACATGTGGTTGCCGCAAGCCCTCCGGACGCTCCTTCGTCGAATCCGTCGCCTCTGCTCACTCTAGCCTTCCGGCCGTTCCTCACTTTATCCCCCGTCCTCTGCTCACTCTAGGCCGCCGTGTGTGACGCTGTGTTTCGTTGTGAAAGCGAAACTACTTTGTTTGGCCTTCCAACGCAACGCGTAAAAAGACAGTATAAGTCATTATAATCCATAATTATGTCCCCACTGGATGCAACGAATGCCTCGTTTATAATGGGTTTTCATGTTTTTGAATCGTCGCTCCGGCCTGACAGGGCATCATCACAATATGGTGAGGGGCGTAACATTTCCGTCACACGCTAGAGGTATTCGGCCAATCACAACGCACTGGATAGCTGGCCAATCACAGCACACCTCGCTTTTTCAGAACGATGAGCTTTGTAAAAATCTGAACCGCGTTTCAGAAAGGCGGGGCATAGAGGAGAAACAATAATGTACAGTATGTGGAAAATGATGTGTTTTTTTAACCTTAAACCGCATAAACACATTTCATTACACCAAATAATGTTCTTTTTAGCAGCATCATATGACCCCTTTAACATCTGTATATGGATGTATTCTCACTGACTGCAGGCCAAAGGCACACCCTCTCTTCGTTTGTACCCATTGACCTCTATGTTTCACAGGAAACTCTTATCTGAACATCTGCGCTAGATGACTTTCGCTGGCAAGATTAGCCGAGCACTAAAAGGTAGCATGCCTGTCCTAGACAAGAAAAAATAATTCATTGTTTTCAACTTCTGCTTGAGCTGTGGTTTGTCTCTCCCTATTCGTCTTCTTTCATTTCCTTTATACTTGTTTTAATGTTGTTCTAACTGATGCCAAAATATCCATTAGGGATGTTATACAGGCTACACAATGCTTGCTATCCCAAAAACACTTCAGAACAGAGGAATGGAGGCATTTGGAGTGAGTTCTAATCAATCTATACACTTTTATTTAGCTTATCTTCATTCATTCATCAATTTATAAAACGTATGGCTTGATTTAACAATAATTCAACAAACATATTCAGTCAATAACTGACTTCATTATGCTTAGGGATATTCATCCTCACGTCGCTCTGAAACTTAAAACTTTCTTTTTTCTGTGGAACATAATAGAAAAACATAAGAAGATGGAATGACAGAATTGTAATTTCTGGGTGAATTATCTCTAAGAACAAATCTTTTACAATTAAAATGTTTTCAGTTTTATGATTATGCACAGAATACAGATCCCAAAAACTAATTACAAATTTATTCAGACACAAATTATATTCTCAATTTGAAAAACTTGCATTACAGCATTAACCATAATTGGCAAATGCTACCATTGATAAAACGTACTGTTAAAAAGTGTCAAATAATGCACACACAAAGAAAAGAAAAGAAAACTAAACTAAACTAAAAACAAATAAAATAATATATATATATATATATATATATTTATACTGTATATATTTCTTACTATACTAGTTTAAATGTTTTTAAATCTATACCAATATGCTACTGATTTCTTTTCCAAAGAGGGCTTAGAAAGTCTCCTGACAGCTTCAGAAAATGTGAATAATTCTGTCCAAATGCTTCCAAATCATGCATAACATTAATTGAGTTTTTGGTCCAATGCATCAACAGTGCAAATAAATCTGCTGCCACCCCGTGCAACCCTTACAAAAATGATTTTGAGAGTTTTAGTATTCTTTAGGATGACAGCTCACAAATCTCTCAAGTCTGCAGAGATTGATTCTTATGTAAAAGAACTGAAGCATTACTAAAAGTATAATTTAGCTCTCAAGGGGATGAATAAATATGAAAAATCGCCATGCAAGTAACTCCTCTGATGCAATTGCAACGCTGATTAAAACAAATTCGATATTAGTCTGGCATGCTGGCATGATTGTTTAGTAAAGCCGAGTGAATATTTCCAGCCTTCAGATGAAATCTAAGCTATATGATTTCTGTAATGCTGTAATGCTGAGTTCTCGGGCGTTGTTCTTGATTGAGAGCGAGAATTTTACTTCGCAGCTTTGCTTCATGATCGCCCATGCAAACAGCAACAAAAAGAAAAGCCCCTCCAACAACTAAAAGAAGTCCAGCAAACCAGGCAGAAAACATGGCCTCTCCATACTCCCACCTGGGCATCACATCCGGAAGATTCTCATCCCAGAACTTCACTACCATTATGTACGCCATTAGCGAAACAGGTGCAAGGGTCGTGATCCCCGACACAACGATAAACACTCCACCGAGGATGAGCAGCGTCCTCTTCATCCTCTCCCGCCCGGCACCAATCTCAACACCTTGGAGTCCGAAAAAAGCAGCCGCCACACCGAGGAATCCCGTCGCGATGGAAATGCACATGAGAACCCGTGAAGCTAAAGTGTCTAGTGGAAGGGCTAAAAAAGACTCGAAGGCTTTGCAGTGAATGCCAACTTCCTCTGTGTAGATACACATGTGCCAGAGACCCTCATACCAGTTCTCCATCTCATTCAGATCCGAGTTCATCGTCTTCCATAGTGGCAGAAAGGTTGTAATAATGGTTGTGACTAAACCTCCGAAGGACACAAAGAGCGAAGCTCTCTGGACAAACTTAGTGGTGAACAGCGCCATGTTAACACTTGTCTGTTCTCTTGCTCTGTCTGTCTGTCCATCTGAGATTTTCAACACATACATCTTGTCTAGTCTGGACTGGCTCCTCCTTTGCTTTAATAAAAACCCACCTGTTCTTGCCGGATAATCCAGCAGCCCTTCACAACGGCAGGACTGTTTTTCAAACTGATGAATATCTTTACGGAGGACAATAACTGCTTTTTAAAGAGGAAATACGATATGTCCAGTTTTAAGTCTGCGCAGGAAGCCTGAACAGAGCGCAGTAAGACTTTATTGAGACTGAGGGAGAAGAAAAGAAGGAATTAGAAAGAGCTTCAAAGAAACCTCTGGTGAAATGTGTTAAAAGAGCCTTTTTCCTTTATTTGGTAACTAATTGTAGCTGATGATAACTCAGAAGTGATACTATAGAGTTTTAGGATGCTGTAACTCAGGATGTATCAGGGTAACAGCTGAATGAATGATAGTTTGCTTTGAGAACACTATGTACCACAGGTTTTTTTTCCTCTGAAGCTCCTCTGATATTCGGAGATCAGTGGTTGGAAATCAGACACCTTGTCCTATGCTGAGCTGAGCTCATCCATACCTCAACCATTTGTCCTTGAACATCAAATCCTCTTTATGTATAATAGGCTAGATTTAAAGGTGGCACAACCTCATTCCATACATTACCATTCAAATTTGGGGTCAGTATGACTTATTTTTAAGAATTAACACTCTTTTTCAGCAAGTATGTATCAAATTCAACATTGATAATAAGAAAAGTTTCTTTAGTAACAAATCAGCATATTAGTTTTACAATCCAAAAAGGAAGGTTCATCCAAAAAAAGTCCTCTACCCATAATAGATATCCATCAAGTGGTCTCGTCTGAATCAGGAGAGAAATATGCACCGATCAAGC